CAGGGACATCTTCAACTAGATCAGATTGCTCAGCGCCCGATACAACCTGACCTTGAATGTTTCCAGGGATGGGGCATCTACCACCTCTCTGGGCAAAATGTTTCACCACCCTCATTGTAAAAAATTGCTTCCTTCAATCTAGTCTGAATCTACCATCTTTTAGTTTAAAACCATTACCCCTTGTCCTATTCCAACAGGTCCTGCTAAAATGTTTGTCCCCATCTTTCTTATAAGCCCCCTTCAGGTACTGAAAGGCCACAATACGGTCTCCCCAGAGATGTGTCTGAAATGAAAATAAAACTGAGATAGAAAAATAGTATGTGAATGTAGAAATAAAGGAAAAACACACTGACACTACCTTTATTCTCTTGATATGCTGTGAGGAAATAAAATCCCTCTGGGTAGCTAACAGATAAAAATAGGGGGAGGGAGGGAGGGGGGGAGGGAGAGAGAGAAATTCATACATAGATACCTACATACATATATATACATACACCTAGACAGAGAAAAATTCTAGTAATAACACTAACGTCTTCCTATATAAATTGGCTACTGTAGCTGATTTTAAAATATCCCTGTAGACCTAATCCAGGCTAGATTAATTTTGTTTATTTCTAGGCACTAATCTGAACACTTAAAATTACAAACTGAGTGGTCCCCATGCTTCCTGTGTACTCTTCTGGTAAAGCATATCAATCAATCTAAGGTAAAAAAAATACTTCCAAGAGCACTTCCTTGTGTCCAGTGTTTATGGGACAACATGACGCAACTTGGCTATAAACAGAGGCCCCAGTTAAGTGTCTGGACTTCAGTGGTATGGATCTAGGCTTTCTTTTTGCTACCCCACTTCACCATTTTTTATATGGTCCTCTATAGAGAAGACTGCAGTGCTTGCTTTCCTTTCTAACTGTTTGAGATCTCAAAGATGAAAAGCACTAAAGATGTGGATTCCCAGTGGCTTTTTCATGGTGGCTTCAGCTGATGTGCTTTACGTGAAAATAGGGTAGCTTAAAAAGGTCAGTTACTGTCATGACACCTGCTAGTATTTGTTATGTAGAAGTTGCTTTCAGCAATGTCGCCTGAGTGGTACAGCCTTAGACTATAAAAGGAATCACAGAATCATGGAATCACAGAATGGTTTGGGTTGAAAGGGACCATTAAAGATCATCTAGTCCAACCCCCTGCAACAAGCAGGGACATCTTCAACTAGATCAGGTTGCTCAAAGCCCCATCTAACCTGACCTTGCACACTTCCAATGATAGGGCATAGAATAGAAAAAGGAAACAGAATAGAAAAAATAGAAGGTTTGATCTGTTTGTTTGAAGTTGGTTGGAGAGCAACACATCCTTATTCCTTGCACCTTTCTATGCAAGATTTTTTTCTGCACAGGTAACAAAAAATATTTGGAGTTGGTCTTCATAACCTTGAAAGTGCAAAAGTTGTATTTTCTTGTTGAAAGTGTTTTATAAACCAGAAGAGAAGTCAAAATAAAACTTGCATTAAATATTTCATATTTGAGAATCAAGCAGTAAATAAAGATGCATTCAGCATTTTTCTCTGTACTCTCATCAATAATGAAATGCTATATTAAGTGATAATGTTATATTAAACAAAAATATGAAACTATATAAGAGTATCATCATAGACATTCATTGTTATCATCACATTTTGACATAATGTGCTGTTTGATTTCTGATGGCATGAAAGAAGCAACATTGTAATGTACTAGGAATGAAGCCAGCACTACCTACAATAGCAAGCACATAATGTGAATTCCTTAGAAATTTTAAGGGGAATATTTTTAAAATAGGTAATTTGTTGAAGTTTACATAGACTGAATTTGCACTTCTGCCCTGAACTTCTATCACTATGTGCAGAGAAAGGTTACTTGAATAAATAAAAACTTATTTCAGCATTCCCGTTCAACAAAGCATGTCAAAGAATGCTTTTTTAATCTGTGTGCTTTAGCCCAGTAAACCTAAACTTAAATCCATTCTTCCTTAGCTGAATTTTTAAATGCATGTGCTAGAGATAGGACGAGACTCAGGAATGGTTTTGGAAAATAAAAACGTTTGTGCATGTAGTTATTAAGTAGATAGTGGAGATATAATTTAGGGTTTGTACAGGCAAATGCATGTGCACAATTTTTACAGATATGAACTGAGCCATGCTTCTTCAGCTGCCATTATTTGAAGAGTATGTCTGCTTTTTGCACTGCTTTTACCATTTTGTTCTTTAATGAACAATGAAAGTTTCAAAGCATAACTCCTGTGGGAAACACATTAAAAACTGTCTTTACTATTTAGCTGGAAGAAAACTACTTATTAATGAAATCAGTAAGAATATTTTGTATAATATAATAATAAGCGAATGTGAACTTGTTTCTGTTTTTTAATTGACATGTGTTAGCCTTTTATGGAAAAAAAAAAAAAGAACCCTTAACTTTCTTAGGCTGAAGAAGCTAGAGAACTGAAATAACTAATTTTTCATTTATGACAAAGAAATAATAAATGTTTAGAAATAGTTATATTTTCACACATTTTTAAAAGTATTTTTTTTTCCAGCCTGGATGATGGTAACCATAAATGTGAAGAAAAAAATTAAAAACCTGCAAGTGACTCATGAATGCTATAGTATTTTAATCAGCATAGTTGGCACATTGTATGGAAGTTTATGGTAATCTTGTTTTTGGATTATTTATATCTATAAGAAACTACAGAAATAGAGTGTGAGTAGACTGTTATACTGAAACTTTTCATTAAATGAAAGACAACACCACACTTCAGTCTTCTATATTCTCATGGAATCATTAAAACACAAGAAAAATGTTTATTACCAAGGCTATACCAAACATTGTGCCCAGCGTCACATTGTCTGACCTTTATCTCTATCCTCACATTTATTATGTGTATTCATTTAGCTTCTAGAACAGCTTGTAGATGTCTCTCTAGGTAGCCAGATGTTTCACAAATGGATGCCTAGAGAGCTCATTTCCAGTTAAGTCCCTTTCTGTCTAAACAATAGCCCATTTAAATCCCATATAACTCCTGGCATATAAAACACAAGTGACTTTTCAACAATATCTATTCTCAGGTTGACTCTTTTGTCAATTTAGGATAATCACCTAGTGTTGACTTGCAATTGACAAAAAAATATTCAGTTGCATATCCACAGCATGACATTGTTATAGGGACTTTAGCAACTATATAAAGAATATAAAAGATAAATCTCTTAAAACATGATGGAAAGGCTTTAAAAACCTTGCAAAATAAACCCTAGATGATCTTATGCAGAATTAAAATGGGACTCAAGAAGTTTGCTACACCTCCCTAGATTAGGAAGACAGCTTCTTAAACCTGGACCAGCTTTATTCCTATTGCAAGACTACCCCTTCACACCTCAGCATGTCAGAAACAAATCTTTCCTAAGAAGAGAACTGAAAGGTTCTCATAAGCCTGTGAGTTTACATACTGCCCCTTTCAAACTATTATCAAACAACATCATCATAATGTCAGTGTAAAGTTGTGTCAGTTTTTTTGTCAATAGCCTGTAGATTGGAAGTTTTCACAAAGATGGTAGTGGTCTGTGAGTCATCTCTGATAACCTATAAAAACACGTGAAAGAGAAACACGTTATAGCTCATCTGCAAGCCAGCACACAATGGGCATGCTGAAATAAGACTATGGGTGACACTGAAATCATCTTCTGAGATGAGTGCCAACAGCAACATCTCTTTGACAGAAGAAAAGACAAGGTCCTACAATTTTGTCAAGATTTATTCAAATAGTTTATGTATTTTCATTATATCTATTTAAAGGTTGTTTGTTTTTTGTTTAGCTGAACTATACCTCCTTACGCCAGATTTCTCCCAAGCAGCTGAAAGTTATTATTACTACATTGCAGCAGAACAAAAATATGTGAAGATGTAAGCATAATATGGCTTTAATGGAGTCTTCTAATATTGTGCTCTTATGAAAATTGAACCTAATAAAATTTTATTTTAAGAATGTAGATCCCACACTGGTGAAATAAAATATATATCTTCAGCATTACAGAAGTGACAATTATGCAGGTTTATTTTCTCTCAAGTTACATTTCTATAGCTGGTATAAATCTTAAGCCAGAACAAGGCAGTGGTTTGATTAGTCTGGAGTACTACATAAGCTGTGTTTAATGCTGGTAATACTTAAAAACAGATGCACACATCATATTTTTTATCAGATATATGGCTGGCACCCCATATAAAAAATACAGACTGTAAGTTTCTTTAGCTATTTTATTGAATTTTCACATTTAAAACTCTACCTGGAAAAAAATGCATTGCTATATTGCATTCTTTTAGGGCTGGACTCAGCTGTAAGCCTTGAATGTGTATACCCACATTCTTATTCACCTGATTATGAGGTCACTAAAATACTCATGTTCCCCACTTAGGCTGCTCACCATGAATAATCATGTTGCCCTGAAGGAATTGTTATATGTTACTCAAAGTAAGGTGTACTGTTAAATATGCAACATCGATCTCATACTTTCCAAAGCACAACTTCACGGTAAAAGGAGAACACTAAGAATCCCAGTCTGATACAGTGGATTCGCATCCAGTAACTAACCAGGGAAAAATTCCAGTATTCTGGAGTCACTGAAGTTGTACAAAATTATTTTCTTTGCTCGGAGAGTCGTAGAAAAAGAAAAGTCATTCTGAATGTGTCATGCATGCCCTTGCAGATTGTTGGCTTTCTAATTTATTGCTATTTGTACTGATGTGATAATATCCAGACTGCTGGATCATCACTGCTCTTCCATGTTCTGTGCAGCCACTGAAGCAGACATATACCCTTTCCCTGTGAGTTCAAAATGAACATGCCATTTGTCTTTAAAGCTGCAGAAGCTGTTCTTTAAAAGAATGTCATTTAACTTTCTTTTTTTCTGCAAGGGTTAGATATTCCAACATCCTATATTTCTTGTTGAGCTTTGCTTCTCTGTCTCTTGTATTCTGCAGACACTGTAGAAGATGAAATGGAAATGGCCACAGTGCGACACAGACCTGAGGCTCTTGAACTTCTGGAAGCACAGAGTAAATTCACAAAGAAGGAACTTCAGATCTTATATAGAGGTTTCAAGAACGTAAGCAATTCCTTTTTAAATTTACCATGCATTTACAGGATAGGACACCACAATCTGTGGTATAAGAATAACTGGCAGTGAAGCTCATGGGATTCGGTAGCTAAATCCTGCATGTCTGGTCAGGTGAGGAAACAACCACTCTGCAAGAATTCGCCTGTTGAACGACCAAAAGATGCAGACAAATTAGAAAGCATCCAGAAGAGAATAATTATAACTTAGTACAGTGGGTCTTCGTTCAAGTACAGATTGAAAATTGCGTTGGAGTTGTTTGTCTAAAGATGAAATAATGAGAGAGGACATAAATCCTGAAAAATTTGGTCAGTGAGAAGAAAGATTGTGATTTTTGTGTTCAGAATAACTATCAGAAGAAGTAAGTGGCACAAATTGCACTAGAGGAATTTTTCATTAGGTGGACAGCAGTAGGTGACTTCTTCAGTCCTTCCTAGCTCCCCAAGTATATAAACTTGTCAGATCCCTTTACTGGCAGTCATTATTTGTGATTTTTTTTTCGCTGTTATATGTGCTCTGTTGGCAGGTCCAATGTTTTCAGCTGGTGGGGATTCCCACTGAGGACCCCAGTGCATGAGTGCAGTCCACCTCCTTTTCCAGTGCGTGCTTGGTATTATATGCCATTAACTTTGGATAGAAAATACTTGATAATAAAAGAACTTGAACAATAGCCATTGCTTGCAAATCATGAGTAATGTTAATCTATATACACATTGTGAGTACTGCAACTATGCAGGTACTAAGTCTACTGCTGAGCTGGAGGTCAAGACAAATTTAACTACATTTATCACCTTTTATTTAGTTTTTCTTTCACCCTTACAAAAGGCCCGCCTTGTCGCCCTTGGCGTTTACCACTCAAGTGAAATTGTATAACAAAGTATAATAATGCTAAAAGCACAGTGAAACTCAACTGTGGAATCAGAGACAATATTTTCAATAACTTGTACAAAAAGACGTCTTACAGAATTCTTAAATATCATATATTTTGTCATAAAACCCAGCCATGCAAACAGATGTTTTAAAACTACATTTTTATTGAAAGCCTACAATGCAAGTAAAATACAGAGTCACTTAATGTATCCTGTCTATATGTCATCCTCAGTTCCAGAAGGTGTATAATGTTGGCACATTAGTGATTAACAGTGATTGCTCTTAAAAGCTTTTCATTTCCTCAGGGTACCAGAGAACATTCCCCTGCTAATGACAGTATTCCCTAAGTATTGCAAATCATGAACTAACATCCCTAATTATCTAAGGTAAAAAGGTACACACTATAGTGGATAAAATAAGCCTTCTGTCTGTTTCTCTAAGAATAGTTCTTTTTAGAGTCTCGGGATTAAGGACCATGATAATTCTGCATAAAGTGAGGTATGGAAAAAGAGAACAGGTTATAAGGAAGTCTTTTAACTGATTATTGGTTTACCACTTTTTGAAAAGATGAATTCCAGCTCTTCATATGCTTTTGTGTTCCAAGATGCAAGTTCTACTTACATCAAAGGAATGTCAGTGCTAATACATAGTAATAAATCTTTATTCAGGTGTTTCATTTCCTTATCAACACATGATAATTCAAGACATGTGTGTATAAATATCTTTGACTATTTAGAGCTAATGAGCATGAACTTCAGGGTTTTTTGTCTTTAATATAATTGCAAAAGCATCACTTTCAAAAATGCTGTAAAGCATGCCTAGGGCTGGTGACTATTATAAAAATAAATCAATATAAAGCAGTAGTCTTTAGCCCAAGGATTCAACTTCAGAAATGAAGGGTTTCAAAACTTTCAGTTGGGTTAGTGGTTTTTTTTGTCTTATATTTATCAGTTTCTACTGCAAAACGCTCTACAGCTCTATGAGAAGCTTGCCTATGTGCATTAGTCCATCTTTCCTGTCACATGTCTAGCTTTGACCAAATACAGTTTTGATTGGCTTTGGTGGGTACTGATACAGGATGACATTAAAGTGCCTCCCATGCTCTGCACTTAGATGGTCTCCTCCTGACAGTGCTCAGTCATCCACTTTTGCGTGCCACAGGGCCCCTCCCTTCTCACTCCCCTTCTTTCTCATCCAGCTTAACACTATCTTGCCAATTTCTCCACCCGTGTGCTTCATGTGTGTGCTTCATGCACCGATATATACTGGGGGCCACCCACCTGGAAAACAGCTTTGTCCTGGTGGACACCAGGTTGAACATGAGCCAGCAATGTGCCCTGCGACAAAGAAGGCAAATCCTGGGCTGCATTAGGCAAAACATTGCCAGCAAGCAGGTCAAGGGAGGTGATTCTTCCCCTCTACTCAGTACTGGTGAGGCCACACCTGGAGTGCTGTGTCCTGTTCCAGACTCCCCAGTACAGGAGAGACATGGGCATACTGGAGAGAGTCCAAAGAACAGTCACAAAGATGACTAAAGGGACTGGACTGTCTGTCCTATGACAAAAGGCTGAGAGAGCTGGAACTGATCTGCGTGGAGAAGAGAAGGCTCAGGGGGGATCTCAACAACGATCAATGTGTTCGTTATCATGTATATCAATACCTGAAGAGAGGGTGTAAAGAAGACTGAGCCAGGCTCTTTATAGTGGTGCCCAGGGACAGGACAAGAGGCAGTGGGCACAGGCTGAAACACAAGGGGTTCCTTCTCAACATCAGGAAATACTGTTTCACTGTGAGGGTGACCAAGCACTGGCACAGGTTGACCAAGGAGGTTGTGGAGTGTCCCTCCTTGGAGGAAGTCAAAAGCTGTCTGGACATGGTCCTGGGCAACCTGCTCTAGGTGGCCCTGCTATATCAGGGCTGTAGGACCAGATGACTTCCAGAAGTCCCTGCTAACCTCAGCCATTCTGGGATTCTGTGATATTGCGTTTAATCGTTCCACTAGGAAGGAAACGTCACTGAAAATATTTAATGAAACTCAGAGGCATACATCTTTAACATGACACCACCTGGAGTACTTCGTCCAGCTCTGGAACCCTCAGCACAGGAGACATGGATCTGTTGGAGCAGGTCCAGAGGAGGGCCACAAAAATGATCAGAGGGCTGGAGCACCTTTCCTGTGAGGACAGGCTGAGAGAGTTGGGATTGTTCAGCCTGGAGAAAAGAAGCTTCCAGGGAGACCTTATTTGTGGCCTTTCAGTACCTAAAGGGGGCTTATAAGACAGATGGAGACAAACTTTTTAGCAGAGCCTCTTATGATGGGACAAGGTGTAATGGCTTTAAACTAAAACAGGTGAGACTTAGACTAGATTGAAGGAAGAAAATTTTAAACACTGGTTGCCCAGAGAGGTGGTAGATGCCCTATGCCCAGAAACATTCAAGGTCAGGTTGGATGGGGCTCTGAGCACCCTGATCTAGTTGAAGATGTCCCTGCTTGTTGCAGGGGGCTTGGACTAGATGACCTTTAAAGGTCCTTTCCAACCCAAACTACTCTATGAAAACTTGTGCAGATCCTACCTCCGGGCTTTATTCTTTTCACCTGATGTTTGCTTGTCTTACTATCTCTTCAACAATTTAACTGTATAAAGCAAGATATGTGAAAGCATGAATTTAAGTTGCATTATGCCTGCTGACATTATGCTCCTGTTAGACTAAATTTAGACTGTCCCACAGCACAATAGCGTCAGCCTTGCACTGTGCACGGGCAGGAGCTCAAAAGAGCTGTAGTGCAGACTGTTGTCCTACGGGCAATGGAGCTAGTCTCAGCTGGCATAGTCACTACGTGTGCTCCGGTTAATTCAAAAGAATGATGTCCATTTGTATCACCAATGAACTCCAGAATAACTATTGCTATTTGATCACATGATATTTGGAATCAACATGCAGTAAGTAAGCTAGTTCAGCCATATCAGTTAAAGTAGTTACTGCTTGCTAGTCTAGGAGTGAGTGTTGGTTTCAGGTAGCATTTTCCCATCTATAAATCCACAGATTGCCTAACACTTTACAGAAGGAACAGACAGCAACTCTATTCTTATACAGAGCCTAAAAAAAAGGCAGATTTTCAATAGTTAAACTGTAATACTACCAGATGATAACGTATTTGTAGTAGCGCAAATATTAATAAGCTTAATGAACACAAAACTCTAAGCTTTGGAAAGGACAAAACTCCTTACTTACTATGGCGATACTAAATATAAGTTCAAAACTGATATTTCTTTCTGAAGAACTTGTCTATCTCTATATTATAATAATGCTTAAGGTGTGTCAGGAAGTAATGAATAAGCAAAGCGGAATTTTTTTCTATATATTTTCAACAGCCCTTCTACTAGGCACATTTTTCCCTCTGTCTTTATGCAAGCGTGACAGGAAGAAATAGGTCCCAGGCACGATAAAGAAAAAACAATTGATGAAGCAGAAGAAAAGCAGTACTCAGATGCTTTACCTCAGCATCCTATTTTCAAGAGTGGCCAGATAAGGGAAAGAATATAAGAATAAAGTTAATTTAGAGTGATAATTTCCCTAACATCCTGTTCTGTCACCTTGCACTCTGCTACTGAAATACTTCCTGTGCTGTAAATTATAGCTGCATCTTTGTATTTTGTATACTTTAACCAAAGTTTCTTCCATAAACTGTTATAATTAGTTTTTGAACCTACCAGGGTATTTTGACATCTACAGCATACTGTGGGAAATTAGCTCCATACCTAATTATGCCTTCTGTGACAAACAATTCATTTCTGTGTCAAACTTGCTGCATTTTGTTTTAATAAGATATCTATAGTATTTCTGCTATGAGAAAATGAGAAACCATTACCATTACTTCTCCAAGACCTTCACTGTTTTACACGCCACTAACACATTTCCTACTCAGTCCCTTCTTTTCCTAACCAAAAAGTTTTTGTCTAGATAATCTCTCTCCAGCTGGCTGATTTCCCTGAATCCTGTCTAGTTCTAGAATGTCTGTTCTGAGACAGGGATGACCAGAACTTCTCACAGTTTACGTCCTGTTATTTATTATTTATGACTTCAAATTACACATAGTTCTGACTGACTTCAGACAAGAA